CATGCTTTTCGCCTGTGTGTGAGTGTGTGTGTGTGTGTGTGTGCGTGCATAGACCCTGATTTTAGTCCTGTGGAATCTGTAAAAGATGAGACTTCAGCCTCATGCTGTGAACTAGACTGTCTGCTGTCTCTGGTCATCATTTGTAACCTCAGCTGGCTGCAAGTGTGTGTGTGTGTGTGTTGGTCTCATGTCTGCAAGTTTGCCCATAAAGTATGCGTGTCTTCTTCTATGTCAGGCTTTTTTTGGGGAGGATTAATGGAAGAGGCGTTTTTGAAGTGATGGTTTGTTGGGGCTGTCGGAGGCCACTCCAGTCAGCTCCTCATTAACTATGAATGGGTTCTACCTTTCGCATGTTTTCATAGGCCAGTTTTTCACTTAACCAAGAAATGCGTGAGGAGAGCCACACCACGGCTTTGTCCCGACTCTATTCCTTAAGCTTGAAACTTTAATTGTAAGGACTGGCCTGAGTGTTTGCTAAGAGATAATGAGAAATAACGATCAAGTATTTTACTCATTACTCTGATTATTAACCACTTATTGGATAAGTATTTTTGGATGTTTTTAATTACAACAAACATTAATTATACTTGTAATAAACAGGGCAAAAAGTAATCAAAACATAATCTTAGAAACGGACTCAGCGATTCGCACTGTTGTCTCAAAGCACAGAGCGTTTGGGTCTGAATTATCCAGCTGACTGGAGCCTTCCTTCATGTTCTCCACATGTGCAGGTTTCCAGCCTCCTCCCACAGGACAAAGACATCTTATACTGCAGTTACCAATTTGAATGAATTTGAGTGTGAATCTGTTCGTATGTGTCGGCTCTGTAATGGACTGTCTCTCACTGTGTCACCATGTGAGATGTGACAGGCTCCATCCCTCTCCATTCCCACCTGAGGGACATGTGGGAATAAAAAAACAGATAGATTGATCCTAATAATAATCTACGGTAGCTTGGTTCAAGCATTTGTAAATTGCAGAAACATATTTTTGTTTCGTTGTATATAGAATGTACAATCTACATACTGTACAACATCACTCATTGGCGACTTTCTAGCTGTCACTTTGACTAATATATATTTGCCATTGTTCTGATGACCCATTATTCCAAAACACCAATAGTCTGAAAAGTGCCCCATTGGACCAAAAGCCCTTTTGTCCGATAGTCCGTTACCCCGAAAATAAACACCCCTTGCTCCAAAAATACACACTATGCATGCGACAAACAGAAGCACGTGGCTAATTATTATTAACAATGAAAGCGATATTTTCCCCCCAATATGGCGAAGGCATGACCTGCCCTACTCTGCCTGCAATTGTCTAGAACTCGCTGCCTTCGTTGATTGGGTTGGTTAGGTTTAGTCATGAGAAGTGAGATTGGTCCGGGTGAGGGTAAGAATATCAGGGTAAGCCAATCGGAAGCAAGAGTAGGGTGGGTCAGGCCTCCTCCGTCCTTCTGTGTACTAATAAGCCAGAATGTGCTTTTGTTTGTTGCAGGGACAATGTGTACTTTCAGTGTAATGGGTCCTTGGTTTTCGGGGTAACGGGCCGTCTGACAAATGGGCTTTTGGAATAATGAGCCATCGCAACAACCAATGCCAGACCCATTTTTGTTGAGATGAAGCGTTTTATACCTTTTGAATAGAGGAAGCCACCTCTACAGAGATCATTTGAGAATCATTTATCACATAATGTACAATGAATGCAATTTTGAATTTTTACTCTTCAAACTTGCCATCTTTGGTTTTCCTGTGAACAGTGTATGGCATTAAATGTTAAAGGAAGTGCACACATGCGATACTTAATGACTTTATCCTTTGTTCATTTTGTTTTGCTTTAGTTAATAACTATGCATTCTATTATCTTTTTATGTTTAAATCTCAAATGGAAGTGAGATGTGGTCTTCATTTTGAGAAATGTAAGCGTTAAAAACACTACTGCAGTAATTAGACGGGACAAAAGACAATATATCATACACCCCACAGTATTCATGCATCATCTTCGGCAAGAAACCATTGAGATAAAATACATAGCTTCCGTCGTGGTCATCAATAACATCATCATTTGAGTCGGGCACAACAGCAACATGACTGGAATATTCTGTCTTCTAATCTGGGATTAGAGCCAGAGGATCAAACTGTGATCATCAGGGAGAGATAGGAGAGATGGAGAGAACAGGAAGAAGTGAGGGAGGATGAGAGATGGCTCCGAAGAGGAGACGAAACAAAAGGGCCCGATTCTGCCCTTTTCTTTAGCACTCCTTTTTTTAACTTCTTTCCAACCTCACGTGTCTGTGAGTGTGTTCATATGTGTTCTCTGTGTGTGTGTGTGTGTGTGTGTGTGTGTGTGTGTGTGTGTGTTTTATTGGCAGGATTCTAGCATTTGCTGTGGCTGTGTCCGGCTGCGCTGCAATCTGTTTGCTCTCCCTCGTTCTCTCTCGTTGCAGAGCGGCAGCACATTTGGCCCCGACGCGCTCTTAATCTCGTACCGACTGATGATGATGATGATGATGTTTATCATGATGATGATGATGGTGTGTGTTTCTGCTTTGCTTCCTTTAAGGTCCATTCTTAAAGAGTGATCCAATTATAGTACTATCCGAGCCAGAGTCAGACAGGGCCGGTCAGATGTCAGTTACTCTCTCTCCTATGATCTCTCGTAGAAAGACTGAGTTCACGCAGGAATGCGGTGCTGTTTAGATATTTTCAGACAGCGGGCAGTTCCTACCACCCCTTATGGTTGGTTGTGACGTTCACCAGCGGCTGGCGAGCCACCGATGTGTGCAGCAGCGGCGAGGATCGAGAGGGCAGAGGATGCAACGATAACCATTCAGTATCCAGAAATGTCTTAGGCCAATGTTGAACTACCACATTTTACATTTTAGTTTCCGCTCACTTTCTTTCACAGCTAAAATAGATTAAGCTCACTCTGTTTGCTTCATTTTATTATCATTTCATCTAATTTGATCTATTGACATGATGTATTTAATCTTATTAAATGCTTTATTGTAACTGGGTTTAGCTTGCTTCAACTCTGTTAAGCGCATTGTCGGGTTTAAATAAAAAAAATCTCATTACATGCCTTCTTACCCAGAAGACACAATAAGAATTAGTTTCACTCCCTGTTTTTCTCGCTGCCTGTCTGATCTGGCAGCGTGCCAGTGCGGCCACACTGAGACACACACACACACACACACACACACACAGTAACAAACCGAGGCATGCTGCGATGTCTTCAGTGCCCATGATGCTGAAGTGGTGTGTGTGTGTGTATGTGTGTGTGTGTCTCTTTCCATTTTCACCTTTTCCTTCTATGCAGCAACAGAATGGGATTACTTTGACTGACAGGTGTGACCGGTGTTCAACCCATACACACACACACACACACACGCATACACTCGAGCCAACAATGTGATTATTACAATTGCCATATGAATATGTCATGTTGGGGTCGCCATGGCAACAGTGATATGCACTGCATTACCTTGACACGAGTGCGACGTCATGTTTTATCCACTCGGAGGGAAATTGTTATTCTGCCACCAGTGTTTCCTTCATTCGAGGCTCAGTCTGACATGCATCCCCGCTGGCTGAGAACATTTACAGTATTCATGCATAATACTAATATAGTGGTAGATTTATATCTGCAGTACGGAGTTGGTTTCAGCATAAGGAAGCATTAAAGGGGAGGCCACACGTGAGCTCTATTTTTATCAAACTAAAAGAGAAAATAACCCACTTTAGCTTAAGGTTGAATAATGTAGGGACGGCTGCACTACTGTATGCTGCGTGTCTGCGATGCATGAATGAGACGGTTCTCCATTTGGCCGAGCTGGTGAGTCTTATGTTACGCAGCAGCAAGGGCAAGAAAATCTACTTAGCCGGAGTGCAGGATGCAGATGATGTGGCAGGTGTAACGATCTCTTTCAGCTGCTGATGAAACAGTATAGCAGGGCATGATGCTGTGGTACAACTTCCTGTAGAGGAGGATTTTAATAAGATGAGCAGGTGAATTTCAGGTGGTGCAACATAATAAACGTGTTAACAATGATTAAAGTCGCTCGGCATTTTGGGAAATGCTTCTCTTCATTGTCTTGCAGAGTTGTTATATGTTTTGTGGGTTGAGAGCTGGGAAAAAGTTGACTTAGCTTAGCATAAATGCCGGATGCAGCTCGCCTGGCTTTGTTTGGCAAGAAATAGTGCTTTTACTATCTCTTTCCCTAAAACCACAAATCCGATTTATTTTATTATAATTGATTAAAAGCCAGGAGAAGGAGAAAAACTCACTGACACACGCTTAAATAGTGTATCAGGGACCCACCATTCACTCTGTTGATCCTCTATGCAGATGCTTAATTAGACATCCAATTAGCATCATCTATCATCTCTAAAGGAGATCTCGCAATCAGTATTTGCTATAAGTACATGAGGAATATTGAATATGCCAGAAAGGGAGCAGAAAATCATTGAAACGGCTCGATATGAACGTCGTGTTCAATCGAGCTGATGCACCTTTGTACTGTCGCAGCAGCTGTGATTTAATTCATTCAAAGTTGTTTTTCGAAAAACGATGTCAGTTTTACGATGTTTTATCGTGTGGTAAGCCAATTTTATTTTCTATGACTATTCAATTAATAATTGCCTAATTTGAATTGATTTAGATGTTGTTCATGTTGGAGGGTTTTTCCGATGATTTTTTTTTGGAACAAACAAGGAACAGTGTTTCATTGCCCCACAGTTAAGGTTCACAAGCTGCTCCAGGGCTTCCCTGATGTAAGAATGCATCTCTTTGTTCTCGAGGGGGGGGTCACAAGACAACATTTTGAGAAGGAGCCGTTTAAATTGTGGCTGTATTTCAAGGGCAGAAGCAGGTCACAAAACTGCAATTGCTCAGTTTGATGCAGATTTCTTTTAGTGATGTTTTATTATTATTATTATCACTGAATATCAGACTAAACCTGTCTTTTCTCCCCCCCCCCCCCACCTGTATGTTTCCTGTAGGTTAACAGACCTGTCAGGCATCCTCACAGATGGACCAGTAAACTATAAGTATAAGACCAAATGCACCTGGCTAATAGAAGGATAGTAAGTATCACTGTGTGTTTCCCTCCTCTGTCATCATTTATCTTACTTTGTGATAAACTGATATTTCTTTGTATCTGGCTGAAGGGCTTCCGATAAAGACAGCTTTTTTTTTTTTTACTGTATAAATAGAAGCAGTTTGTCTTCATATGTATTGTGGTCCATAGCTTTGTGCTCATTTACTGCTATGCAATGCTGTGTACATTTTTTCTGCTGTTGTTGACACCTGTCATGACATGTGACATCATTTAAGAGTCACTAACTGAATGACACCTGTAACAAAACATCTGGAAAGAATACATTGCGTTATAATCTCTGTATACTCCGGGATGTCAGATTTGGCTGCAGATGTTCATTATCTCCATGGAAAATATTAAAGGAAGGTTCAGGCTCTGTAAAATATTTGAAAAGACGACATTTTTAGCTAAATCAAGTCCATTTCATGCATATAGCCTAAAATCCTAAAACTCAAATTTGAAATATGGATTGAATGCCACGAACTCCAGATATCTACGGCCCACTGAGGATGAATGAAATCTCTCACTTTTTGCACCACCAGCAGGTCAAAAGCTCCACTGAAATTACATCTATTGCTTTCAAAAATGCATTGTTCCATACCTGCATGTTCTTTTGTCTCTATTTCACGTATATCAATAATAACACACTTCACTCCCTTCCATCTACTATATCTCACTGATAAGTGAATGCACTCTTTGGCTAGAACAATCATGTCTTTGTTCTTGTGCAACTGGATCCACTTGTACTAATTTTGTCACTCCCATTTACTCCTAGTTTGCTTGCTTAGTTTGCACTCGAGAGTTGCTTCTGGTGGTTTTTACAGCTTTAGTCTCACAGAGCTTTATAGGCCTTTGTTCAAACTATTGGGTACGCCTATATATAGACACAAATTAAAGGGACGTTTGACACTGGTTACGATCACAACTTTTGGATCAAATAGATTGTCTGTTTTTGCAAAATCTATTTGCCACATTGCCTTTAGTGTCGATATTCATGGTCCCCAGATGATGATTTGTGATGACTTTGTTTTTCATTTAGTGCCACCATTAGGTCAGAAAATGACTGTTTGACCAAGAATCTGATACAAAAAAAAAATCTTGTTTTGAACTTTTCGAAAAATTCTTCTGAATATTCATCTAGTGCCAAGTGAACGTATATCTACTTTTAACTTTTCTGCAGCATCATTATCAGATCAAAAATCCCACTTGTACACAAAAAATATCGAAATGAAATATTATATATATATATTTTAAACTATCGACATAACATTTACTGAGCACATGCATGTGTCCAAGAGGATACATCCTTGCAGCATTCCCTCTTGTGCGTCCCTTTCCACTTTCAGTTCCACGTCCAGAATAGCAAAATATCTGCATATTGCTTGTTTGAACACTTATTATATTTACATGGACATTAACCTGCCCGGTTTTGAGAATACCGTGGCAGGTACAATAAACACTTTTAGCATATACAGGTGTCCCAAAACTGGAACAAGAGCTTATTTCAGAGTTCTGAAACCATCCATTATCTTTTTTTAAAGATGGCGATTTATTGGAGGGGGTTATGAAACCAGAATATACACCAAAAAAGAGCATAATTGGGATAATAGTGCACATGGAAACACACCTTTTGCAGCATCTCGGAGACTTGTGTTAAGAAACCACGATGACTTCATCATAGCAAAAATGTTTTTTCTGAGGCACTGTGTGTCAATTTGTGATCACAGGCGAGCATGAAATGAAGCATATAGGTAATCTTTATTCATCAAATGTATTTTTTATCGTACCCATCTGTACTGTGTTCTGTCTCCTCTCGCTCCCTGCCTCCCAGTCCTAATGCAGTACTCAGGCTGCGCTTCAATCACTTCGCCACAGAGTGCAGCTGGGACCACATGTACGTCTATGATGGAGACTCCATTTACGGCCCTTTGATTGCTGTCTTCAGGTGAGCGCCCGCCATTCTGAGTAGGAGGAAGCTGTGAGAGGGGAGGGGGGGATATGGAAATAGCTCAGGTAGCCTTTGGCACAGCTTCAATAGCTCCGACAATTTTTCCCTTATGCAGTCAAATGACTCCACATTTAGGCAAACAAAGGGCCTCATAATTACCATAGTACCACAATGCAGCAATAATAGAAAGAAAATACTGCAATTACTCACATCAGCCCTGAAAACCACTTGTTTCTGGAGCTTTATTGCATATATTCAATTTCCCCCCCCCCCCAAAGGACATTCTACAAGCATGTGGGTGGCGCTCTTTCATTCGACAAGAATTCATTAAAAAACAGCCATGCCACAATAATTTAACAACCTCCCGCTTTCTACGCTGCTCAATTGAAGCTTATCTCCTGTTGAGAGTTCAGTTGCTTCCAGGATATGAAGGAGCTAATTTGACCTATTCCAACCAAGGAAAGATTATCTGGCATTTGAATATACAAAGCCTAGACTTGCGTAGCATAATTACCAACAATAACTGAGCTTACATTGTTTATTATAGATGGGTACATACTTATGTTGCGGAAAGAAGGCTATGGGCGCCGCAGGGAGGAGGCTTTGAGTCGGATTCATTTGGGACGAGTGTGCATTCGCGGTGCATTGCATTTATTGAAAGAGACAAGCAGAGCACAAAAGAAACCACCAACCCCCAACTGTAAAACCCCATCAAACAGATAAAAACTAAATATGACTGCACTGCAATGGTGTTTTACTTTAAGGCTAATCACTGTCATAGTTTTAGTGGGGCCTGCAATTGCTCAAATGGAATCTTTTTTTTTTATCTTATAGCTATCCAGTGGTGCTTTTAGATCAGAGTGCATAAAATAAAGCAGCATTTCAAAATGCTTTCAACATTATTACTTCTTTTTTGGGGGGGATTAGGGTTGCTGTCTATCTTTCTTAGTCTCATTCTCTTTCTGTCTCTTTCTCAGTGGTCTAGTAGTACCAGAGACGAGGGGCAATGAGACGGTCCCGGAGGTAGTGACGACGTCCGGCTACGCACTGCTCCACTTCTTCAGCGACGCTGCCTACAACCTGACCGGCTTCAGCATCGCCTACTCGTATGTCCAGACGTCAAACGCCTTTCACTCTTTTAATCATCTCTCTTCCCCCTTCTGAGTCTGATATTTAAATGTCTGACAAACCCATTGTACACTACATGCCCCGCACCAATCAGCAGGCAAAGTTAGCAACTGGCTAACTGGTGATGAAAGTGGATCAACTAGGATCTAAAGAGCCAGGAATTGGTGGAGACCACAAAAAGAGTGTGAATTTTGAACATATAACTAACTATTCATCAAATGAATGACACTGTAGCTACATGTCTGGATGTGTAAGTGGGCAGCTGTTTGATAATACCATAGCGAATTATTAGCTTGCTGTGGAGGGGACAAAAATGTCATGTAGCTTTCTGTACATAGTGCATAAATAGTTCCTGAGTTACTTAAAGAACATTATCGTCTTCAGCTGATATGCAATGTTGCTAGTTATAATAAAATCAACCAAAAAAACACTTGAAAGTTTCGAGTATATCGTCCTTTAGATCTCTGAAACGTCACATTAGCATCAGCTAAAGACTAGCTCATATGAGGTTGTCACTTAGCTAGTTCATTTGCAACGCTAGCTAGTCACTCCTACAGCTACAGCTAGCTAATTGACCCTTTTTCACACCCGACATATTGTCAGCTCATTGCAGGAAAAGCGCAGGTGTAATTAATAACGCTAATGACGGTTGGTAGCTTGTTGTGTGTGCTGGCTCACTTGCATGGGGGTCATTCGTATGTTCCCAGGGTCCTTGTTGTAAGAGATTAGTAAGGGCTATCTTCATCAGAGGGGGATAGACGCTTAGGTTTCAAGTTCCTCAGTAGGCTATAAATGAATGGATGAAGGATATTGTGAATTTGCTTTGCACAAAGAGCATAACAGAATATCAAGAGATCGTCAACAACCATAGATGACGGCATATAATACAACATAAAACATGAGCATCGTAAAAACACCATAAAAAAAACAATAATTTGGAAAAAAATCGATAAAGGACATCAGTTGCAAGTAGAAGTGCAGAGTTCATACCATGTGTTTGAAGCTTGTTAAGCAGCTGGATGTGGGGCCTCTTTCAGCCTTCGCCCTGAAGATAAACGTACAGTATATATTCAGGTCGTACAAGATGTGGTGGATCTGCTATGATCCTGTGAGCTAAATTAAGTAAATGAATTCAATAAGCTGTAGGTGGCTAATTTCATTACATACATTTAACACTTGACCTGTGGAAAAAAAGCAATGCTGGAAACATAAAACTCTTTGATAGGTCTCCTTAATAAGTCCAATTAAGAGGATATTGAACTGGGGAACCTCCGACCCGAGAATGAATAACTGGGACACTTAATGGAACCGAGTCATCGCTAATGAAATTTGTTTCACCTGTTGCTGCTAAAATGAATCAAAATGTCTGCTGTTAAAAAGGTCCGTTGTACCGGCTGTCTGAAGGTATGCAATCAGTTTATCCTGTTAAGTTAATGATAGTGTCCGTGCGTCCTTTCATATGACTTCTGCTAAAAAAAAAATCCCTCATTAGTATGAGGCAGAGGCAGTGCTTTTATTATACTTAAAGCAACTAAAGGTGCTTTTGAGGAAAGATGGTGTTGCATTTAGTAAATGACCCTCTTCATAGTAAAAAACAACGACCCAAATAAAAAATGGTTTCAACTCGAGCTGCTTCATGCAGTCATCCAGCTGCTATCTAAGCGCAGTTAGCCAAAGCCAAAGCTAACATTAATGTCTCTACAGTTGGTACGTCAAAAAATGTGAACGCACATTAAGACGGTTTGCTCCAAAATGTTAACGTACATTTGGGTTGTTTTAAGCTGTTCGGACAATAAACGACCGCTGGTGTTGAACTGGTGAGCACAGTCTTTGTTGTACTGCTTTTGTTTCCCGACCTTACTCAAAGGTCACTTGTACAGAACAGTACAGTACAGTACTGTGCATCTGTATACGCCATGTCACCACATCTTACCCACAGACACAAACCAGGCTGCTTTGTGCCAGTAGTGATGGGCCATGATGGAAAATGTAATATGGGTATGTAAGGCTAGGGTGGGTTGGCTGGTTGGTTGGCACACAGCTATTTTCTGGTCACAGAAACAAAAATGGAACATTAGGATGTTTTCTTTCTTTATCCTTCACTCAGCATATCTACAGAAGCAGAGAAGGAAGTCGCTGTCCTTCTGTGTGTGTTGTTATCCAACTTTTCTCCTTGCTCTGTTAGCTGGCCCGGCGTGGCATGCTTAAGTGCATGTTAGTGCGTGTGAGTGTGCCTCACTGGTTAGCTCACGGCCTCTGCACTGCCCTCACATGGCTGATAATGCCACCCGGACGGAGAGCGTCGTTGCGGAAGCGCAGCACCCGCCCCACTCAGGTAAACGCCATTAGCTCCGACAGCACTGTTGCAGTAGTTCGCACTGTTCGTGCCGTTAGCACCGTTAGCAGCCGGCTTGCCGTCACCATGTTGAGAGCCGTCGAGAGGCAATCTACATGCTCCCAATCTCAGATCCTGCATCTCATTATTTTCAGTGGTTTTTATTCCCACTGATGAATTAAATGTTTTGTAACTTTAGCATTTTAACATTGTGCCAACCAAAGCCAACGTGATGGGGTTGGTTGGCATAAATTACTTTAATCCCCTCATTTTAGAAAAAACATGTGTCTACATTAATAAAACATATATTGGTAGCTGAGACCTAAACCTCTTATTCGCTGCTGGTTTGAATATTCTGTCAGAAATTATACCTGAGAAATATGGCAGAGAGTGAAAAGTGTGGCAACCAACCCCGGTCTCCCCTACACATGGGAGGAGTGAGCACAGGTTACTGCACAGTCCACAGCCTTGAGGCTCTCAGCACACACACACACACACACACACACACTGAGGATAAGTGTTGTCATGCCGACCCGCTTGTCACAGCAGCAAAGCTTTTTGTGTAAATGAAAAGATGATTTTCTACCTCTGGTCGTTGACTCCTACTGTCACTCTATCTCTTTCAGAATCAATATTTACTGATATTGCAGAGAAATAGCGTGTAATGTTTGGCAAATCAGTTGGGTCATTATGTCCCATTTCATTTTTTTCCCTGTTATTATAGGTCCTAGTTTGGGGAACATGTAATGATCCCTCATTTTCAGTCTCCTTTGTGTCATTTTCTTTATGTCTTTCTAGCTGAAGCATCTCTTGTTTTTTCCCTTTTGAATTATATCGGTCTTGCTCCATCTCTCTTATTGGCTCTTTGTATCATTACATTTAATTGGCAGACACTTTCGTCCAGAGCCACTTGCAATAAGTGCATTCAGACTCGATAGGAACAAGAGGTACAAATCGGAAAAGCACCCCTCTCAAACAAACAGCTGAGTTCAGTGCTGCAGTACATCTGCTTTCTTGTGTTCTGATGTTAATATTGTATCATGGATCCAATGGGTCACTATTTTAACCATTGTTATGTTGAAGTACTTTTGTGTCATGAAGCCGGTTAACTCTCAAACTAATCTCACTGCAGGTTAAACTGGCCACATGGTATAAGTGCAATAATACACCCTGAGGTGTCTTGACATGGGGAATTCCTCGGAGTTCATTATTTTTGAATATCAAGACTGTTGATATTCTGTAAAAGTCCAACATCCACTCTCCTTTTAGCTCTGCTTTGGTCTCCTCCAACTCCTGACTCTATCCTGAATCTATCTGACTCTTTAGCAGCTTATATGTTCCACTTTCTTCAACAGCTGTCTGTCTGCGTTTTGGTGCTGTGCAGGTAGCGAGCAGTGAGTTTAAAAGAGCTCGTTTTCTGAAAAACAGTGAAAAGTGATGAATGAGAGTGCTGAGACTGAACCGTATACCGCGAGTACGAAAAACCAAAACTATCGGATAAAAGTGGCAAAAAGTGCTGCAGAGATGAAGAGTCTTGCAGGGGCTCAGCACAAAAAACACTTTCATATTACATAGAGTTAATTTAATTCATTGTTAAAACGTCCATCTCAAAGCTTTGGGGTCATCTAAAGAAATCTGTCTCAGTCGAGAATCCTCTGTGCCCACGGTGCCGCGTATAACCTCGAAGAACTGTCCGACTGTGTCTCCTTCAGGATAAACTCCTGTCCCAACAACTGTTCGGGCCACGGCAGATGCAGCACAGCCAACTCGGTCTCGGGCCGAGTGTACTGCGAGTGCGAGGAGTACTGGAAAGGAGAGGCCTGCGACATCCCGTACTGCCGGGGCAACTGTGGCAGCCCGGGTCACGGCTACTGTGACCTGACGGGAGAGAAGCTCTGCGTCTGCAACGACAGCTGGCAAGGTGAGAGAGAGAGCCGGACGGGAAAGAGGAAGCAGCCTTTTTATCAGGGGATATTAATCAGGTATATGGATGAACTGAGAAACTCTTTGGTCTTCTTGGAGTTCAGCCAGGACGGTGAGACGTGTCTCTTTGGCCCGGAGCTAATGGGTTTTGTCAAGAGGTTTAGGAAGGAAAGAGGAGGAAGATGATGGTGAGGATTTAAGGACAGGAAAGGACACGAGATAGTGTGTTCTGAACTGCCTTAATTTATTACTTCATCTGTAATGTTGCTGATCCCAGGAAGCATTGATTTACTGATTTTAAGGTCAAAAATGTCGAGATGTCTGGCTTAAAACTGGCCTACATTTGGTTAAAAACTCAAATGTTTACATATTGTTACGTATGACAGTATTCAATGACTATATTTCATCATGTAGTGAGGACCTGTTTCACATTGCTGTTTAAACAGCAGCTCTGTGTAACCAACATGTCTGAAAACATTTACATGTCCACCTAAATGAGTCGGGTTTTATGATGTTTGTACATGTGATTTAAGCATCAAATGACCAAATCAATGCGTACCTGGACTTACTGTGCAACATTTTATTAATTCCATTATGTCATTGTTGCACCTCGATATAATTATTCTGCAATCAGTACAAATGAGGTCAATGCCGGTGTTTATTTGTTCTGAAAACAAATACCACAGTCCTCATGATGCCTGTGATGAAGAGGATCTTTTGATGTTTCACTTTTGTTCATTATTCAGTGAGAAAATGGAAACAGAGATGGGAGATAAAAAAAAGCACAACGGCAGCTGTTTTGCTCTTTATGCTCAACATAATGTTGCCTGATTCAATATTGTTTTGTGTCGTAAAACAAAAGATTTTATGGGAAATCCATTACCTGGCTTGATTACTTTAGTTGTTTACGTTTCATTTGTGAACACTTTGCTGGTGCTCAGCAGCACGCAGAGCACCTTCATGATACATCGGGTATCTGACTGGAAACTTTACACTGTTGTGTGCTTGTTTTTTACTTGTACATCTTGCAAATCTGAAAAGGAACGGCCATATCTCTATAATGCAACAGATTCCAGGCTTGTATAGATTAATGTTTGTTTTCTACATGAAGAATCTTCTGTTTGTTTTCATATTTTTCCAAAGCATCAATTTAGAGACTCGATGCCAAACACACAAATTGGTATTTTATTATTTTTAAGTCATCAACACAACACAACAACATTCAAATACAAATCGTCCTGTGCCTGGTTTACCTCACAGACTGTCTTGTTTCTACTCTCAAAATAATTCACAACCAGTTTTATCCTTTATTAGTATTATTATTAGCAGTAGTAGTAGTATTGTTGTTATTGTTGTTTGTATTATCATATAACCACATTATGGTCCAGTGAAGTCAGATCAGATGATGACGTGCTGCCCCCTTCTGGAGAAATAGTGTTAACACAAGTTCACTGAGAAAGAGTCTTTTGGTCTGTCTTGTCTGCAGACATGTTGGTAAATCACTGAATGAAAACATGGAATAGTGCCTGAACTGTGACACTTTAAGGGATCTGTCCCTTTATCCTGACAACCACATTGTTTTTATGTCTTTTGTATCATTAATGTACGGCATATATCGTTCTAGCACAAAGTCTGCAGGCGTGTTTTAGAGTTATGAATTTACACTTGTGCTCGTAAATGTCGTGAGTGACGAGTCTCGTAAAAGAAGCTGAGAGTGAAGACTTCAGTGAGACAGAGAGATGAGTGTGTGTGTGTGTGTGCGTGTGTGTGTGTGTGTGTGGGGGGGGGGGGGGGGG